CCGTTTTAAAACCATTTGTGTGTATATTTCTATCTGTTTTTGCCGTAAAATCAGTAGAATTGCACCATTTTCGCCAACCTTCAAATCCTGGCCATCCAAACGTCTTCGTACTCTTCCCAAACCTGGACTCGAGCTACACACGTGGCCCGGGATGTCGCCTTCCCCTGGCTTTTTTTTTTTTTTTTTCACCTCTGTCTAATTTGCCTATAAAGTTAAAGCACACTTTGTTCTTTTTTTAGTGTTTGGTTTTGAATGACACAACCACACACACACACACACACACGCGAGAGAGACGGACGAGGCCTTGGAAAAAACACCAGAAAACCCCCAACGCGATAAACAGGAACCGGCAAAGACAGGGAGGAAAAAAATTAAAAAATGGCATTGTACAAAACGCCGATTTGATATGACAATGGCGGCCATTTTGATTAGGGACACACCGATTAAATACTTTGGCTCTCAATATCTGGCAATACATAATAATTCACATGTTTTTCACCCTTCTCTTAAGACTCATTTATTTGTTCAAGCCTTTAATTAGCTATCTTTGGGCTGATACGATTTCTGTGTTGTTTTGACCCTTTTTATATTGTATTTAATTTTGTGATGTTTTAACTGTGTTGTGAAGCACTTTGTGGCCTTTGCCTGTGAAAGGTGCTATACAAATAAACATTACTTACTTACTTACTTCTTCTTACTACTTACAAAATAGGTTCGATTGTGTTATTTATTCTCTATGGGTTAAACAAGGAAAATTACGCACCATTTTTGGCAATTAATAATGACGAGAAGTCTATTTACTTTGTCATTTCATGTTGTAGGAGGGGAAATGATAAATACAATAGAAAATGTATGGCTAAACAATTATGATGGCTGCGTAATGCTATTGACATTCCTTACCACCAGAGGGCGCTGTAGCCTTGTTTTATTTTTTGAAAAATTACCAGCTGTAAACACAGTATTTTCTTGAGAAATTGTCCAAACATTTTTTTTTTTACTGAAATTCATTCTGCAATATGTGAGGTTGTAAAAAGTGCTGACGTTTTTCCTTTGCTGATGAAGGAAAGTCTATGGACAGAAGGTGCTCAAAGAAATGTAGTTTTCTGCTGTTGGCCAATCACTATGTTTGGTATTTAGAAAAGTCTGCTGTTGTGACTTTGGCATGGACAAAAATAAATTGGATTTGTTCTGATCTTATTCGAACAGTTTATACTTCTTCAAAAGTAACTACAAATCTCAAAAAAGATTGAGATTAGAAATGGGGAAACCTTGGGGAAGACCCAGGTTACATTGGAAGGACTGTGTCTCCAGGATTCCCCCAGATGAGCTGGAGAGAGAGGGTGTGTGCATAGGGAAGTCTGGGTGTCTCTGCTTAAACAGCCGCCCCCCAACACCCGGCGACGGATAAAGCGAAAGAAAATGGGTGGAATATTTCGAAGCAGCATCGGTGCGTCCTTAGTCTCCTCATGGCAAAACTAACCGACTTTGACCTGGGGCTTTAAATATAGATATATTTTTGATCATAATTTTCAAATCCTGGGATTGAAAAACCAAACTAAAAATGGTCTTATTTGTAAATAAACAGAACAGGGCCAAAGTCTATGTTCTGTTTTTGATACAAGTTTTGATTCGTTTAGGCTTTTTAAAGGGAAAACACGTCACTGTGAGAGACGTTAAAAACAATCAATGATCCACAAAGGACTCGCCACAGACCGTGATTTCTGGACTACAAGCCGCTACTTTTTTGTAGTTCTTTTGACCCTGCGGCTTATGTAGCGATGAGGCTAATAGGTGTGTTTTTACTGTGGTAGTTGTAGCAGAGATTATGAACTTTCAGTAGATATTGTCAAAATAGACAAACAGTGAATGAGACACGGAAGCTAACGGTGAATGAGCCACAGAAGCTAACGGTGAATGAGCCACAGAAGCTAACGGTGAAGGAGCCACAGAAGCTAACGGTGAATGAGACACAGAAGCTAACGGTTGAATGAGCCACAGAAGCTAACGGTGAATGAGCCACAGAAGCTAACGGTGAATGAGCCACAGAAGCTAACGGTGAATGAGCCACAGAAGCTAACGGTGAATGAGCCACAGAAGCTAACGGTGAATGAGCCACAGAAGCTAACGGTGAATGAGACATGGAAGCTAAGAGTGAATGAGCCACAGAAGCTAACACTTAATGAATCATGGAAGCTAACGGTTATTTTCGGTAAATGACAATTACACTACTTTGTCATTTTATATTGTGGAAAGTGAAAAAAAATATCTGATAGAAAATATATACGGTGAAACAAGAATGTAGAGTAAGTAAGTGATGCTATTGACCTGCCCTACCACTAGAGGGAGGTGTAGAATTGGTTTTGTTTTCCAAATTTGAAACATTACCGGCTGCAAACACAGTCGTTTCACTTGAGAGTTTGCCAAAACTATATCTGTAATTGAAATTCACCGTCTTCCATCTGCTACATCACAACAAAAACACCTGCGGCTTATACTCAGGTGCGGCTTATAGTCCAGAACGGTACGGTATGTACAAAAAACGACAGATCGCGTTTCCATAGTGACGGCGTCTCTCTGGTTCCGGCGTGAATGACAGCGATGGTTCTCTCTCTTGTACCAGACGTTGACAAAGGGGTTGGTTTTTGCCGCATGCATTAATTAGATTTAAAGCGATTTGGTTTTAAAAGCAAAGCGGCGTCTTCCAAAACTTTATGTACATTTTTGTTTTTCATCCGGCAAAAGTGGAAGGTGTCGCTAGCAAGGCCCCGCTGTCGCCGTTGTCGTCAAGGTGATGGCATTTGACCCGGAAAGTTCCATAAAACATTATAATAATAATAATAATGATAAAATAAATTAGAATTTGTTCGATTTCAAGGCTACGGTTAAAGGCTTTGTTCTGACTGCTGAGGGGAAAAAAATCCACTGATTGCTAACTATAACCCGCTATATTTTTTAGGTTTTGTTCAGACTGCTGATGAAGCTAGCGATCAGTGGATTTTTCTCATCACAGCAAAGAACCTTAGATTTAAAATGTCATCTTCTTTAAAAAGTCCTATTCTGATTATTGATGAAAAAAATCCAGTGATTGCTAACTTCATTTGTAAGTTGGAAAGAGATTTTTTTTTTTTTCTCTGATGAAGTTGGCGATGAGTGGATATTTTTCATCAGCGCAAAATTACGTGTTACATTTATAATCTGTGATCGGACAGTAGATGAAGTAAGCAATCAATGGATATTTTTTTCCCATCAGAGGAAAACAATTTTACATTTAAAGCTTCTATTCAAACTGCAGAAGAAGTTAGCAATCAGGGGTATTTTTCATTTGGGCAAAAAAATCCAGCATGATCATCAATTGCTTTACAAAAACTGGGAAAAAAAGTCAAAAACATGCGAAAAAAATCAGTTTTTAAATATAGTTTTAAACCATGCCGAGGTCCGTTCCAGTCAAATAAATCGCACCACCCTCCGACAGACAGCGGGACCCTGCAAAAAGTTACGCGGCGCAGCTTTAGTTGCAGACACGGCCTCGGTGTGCTCTCACATGTTTGCGTTTTCCATAAATAAAGACATTGCAGTTGTTGCTGCTCACAAAGCCCCAATTAAATAGTTTTTTTTCCAGTTTATATACAGCAGAAAGAGTCAGACACACTGCTCACAAAGCATCAGGGACATACGGCTTCAGGAGGGAACTTTGAGGAAGAACGGGCCAAAATTCTACTCATAATGATATGAATTGATGAATATATTTCCCTCTTGTATCAGAGTTTGTATAGAATCATTGGTCTTAGTATCGTAATGTCAACATGCAGAATGAGAAGGACTGACATCTACAAGGTCCTGGGTTTCCGTGTGGAGTTTGCATGTTCTCCCCATGTCCGTGTAGGTTTCCTCCTGGTGCTCCGGTTTTTCCCCGACCACTAAAAGCGCACGTACGACAGGTCTGGCGTGCGACTACTGTATGGTAGTGGTAGCTATGCGGAGGGAGAGGACTAATGCTTTGTGACTAGTCCAGAAAAGGCGCTATACAAATAAAGTGTACGTACTTGCTAATATCTGTTCAAAAGTACGAGGCCAGTCACAATTTATCACTATATCATTATTCTCCAACTACCTTCTTATTTTAAAACCATATTTAATGTATGTATTAACTATTATTTAACCAGAAAATTCCCACTGAAATTTTTACTTTTTTCAGTGTCTTTTCATGTGTTTAGTGGTGGGGGAAAACCGGAGCACCTGGAGGAAACTAGGGCAGACATGGGAAGAGCCTGTTCCAACTCAAAAAGAGCCTGCTCCAACCGAGAATCGAAGCCAAGATCACATTTATTTTAGTATATTCTTGAACGTGGATTTTGTACGTACAGAAATAGCCTAGGGGGAAAAAAATATCCGTATTATTGGCAGAATAGACTGGAGAAAACATGTATTATTATTATTAGAAAATCATAGATATTTAGTCTTCAAGAGTCTTTTTGTCAAATTTAAAAAGCCTTTTTGGGCCTAAATCACATCACGTTCAAAATCAATAATATTTTGTAAGACTTGATGAGGTTTACTGGGACATTTTTAGTTTTAATATCTTTTTACCGTCTTTGGTTCTAGTCCATAAGCTGTAGATAAGTTGATAACCAGTGCCCATTTCTTTTGTAAACTCCCTGCCTTCGTGACATAAAGTGAACATTATTCATTTCTCAGACATTTCCCCCAGAAGCCAAATCTCTCTCGGCGTTTATGAGCAGTGTATGTCGACAAGTTCAAAAAGAGAATAGAGTAAAATCGATCAGAAACTCAATAAACACAGTATCCGGCGCTGCGGACAGAGCCAAAATAGTACAACATGTGGCCAACCCTTGTCAAATCCAAAGTACAAGCAGCTCTCTTCTTCTTCTGTGGTTTTGTGAAGTCGCCTTTCCAAGTCGCTCCTGGTTTTGTCGGGTGCGTCTTCCATCTTCCATCTCCGTCGTTGTTTCGGTCTCCTCTCTCGGGCCCCGGGGTCGGCTTCAGACGAAAGGCAGGATCCCGTAGACGAACAGGGCCATGACGGCGGCGCTGAACAGGCCCGCCACCGGCACAGTCACGAACCAGGCCAGGAAGATGTTCCGGAACAGCCTCCAGTCCACCGCCTTCTTGGAGCGGATCCAGCCCACGGCCACCACCGAGCCCACCTGGGAGGAGAGAGAGAGAGAGGGAGGGGGGGGGGGGGGACCAGGAGGAGAGAGGGGGAGAGAGAGAGAGAAGGAGAGAGAGAGGGACCACCAGAGAGAGAGAGAGAGGGGGGGGGGGGGGGGGGGGGGGGCAGGAGGAGAGAGGGGGAGAGAGAGAAGGGGAGAGAGGGGGAGAGAGAGGAACCAGGAGGGGAGAGAGAGAGAGAAGGAGAGAGAGAGAGGGACCAGGAGGAGAGAGAGAGAGGGGGGGAGAGAGAGAAGGGGAGAGAGAGAGAGGGGGAGAGAGAGGAACCAGGAGGAGAGAGGGGGAGAGAGAGGAACCAGGAGGAGAGAGGGGGAGAGAGAGAGAGGGACCAGGGAGAGAGAGAGAGAGAGAGACCAGGGAGAGAGAGAGGGACCAGGGAGAGAGAGAGAGAGGGACCAGGAGGAGGGAGAGAGAGAGGGGGGGGAGGGGGAGAGAGAGGGGACAAGGAGGAGAGAAAGAGGAACCAGGAGGAGAGAAGGGGAGAGAGGGGGAGAGAGAGAGACCAGGAAGAGAGAGAGGGACCAGGGGGAGAGAGAGAGAGAGAGGGGACCAGGGGGGGAGAGAGAGAGAGGGACCAGGAGGAGAGAGAGAGAGAGGGACCAGGGGGAGAGAGAGAGAGAAGGACCAGGAGGAGAGAGAGAGGGACCAGGGGGAGGCAAATCAGCAGCAGCATGGACCCAATCGAAGTGACAGTGAAAGTGTGAAGAGACGGCTACAGGCTTTGGGTAGATGCAAAAAAAGGATAAAATATGAGGTAATAAATGATAAATTGAGTCCATTCTGACTGTGTTAAAACAAGATTTTCCAACTGGACAAAGCCATTCAGTCTCTTTTCAACAACTGTAGCTAATTTTCTCATTCCAAGCGAGACATTTCTTGTATATTTTTTTAAAACAAGATTATTTTGCTTTGTCCCATTGGCAAATTTTGTTCCAAGACAGTCAAAATGTGCTAATATTACGATACGATTTGCCAATTTTGAGCAATTTTTGACTTATCTTTCATTACATTTTGCAGTGTTCATTTGTTTTTACACTGGATCAAAAGTTTAAGATCTTAAAAAGGCTCCAGGTAGAGATTTATCACGGGAAAAGAAGAAATTGTAACGGTCCGGCGTTTTGAAGGAACGGAAAATCTGGACTTTTGTGTCGAACTTAACGCATTTCTTTCTCCGCAGCTTCAGAAAACTCAACATTTGTATTTGTCCTCCTTCACTGGACAGACTTAAATCAATATTTGGGTTTTTAAAATGGCTGCATCCAGATTGTCTGTGTGGTTATGGACCTTGTTTGTGCGTCTAAAACGTTTAAAATCAAAACAATGACAGTAAAGATGTATTTTTTTACGTTCCGCTCTGTGATGTCTTTGCCGTCTAATAATACGTACGGCCACTTTCTGTTCTGTAACTCCTCAAGGAAGAGTTGAGAAATTGAAAACGAAGCCTGCTCCAGCCTAAACAGTCATTACCTTTTGTTTACGCAGCTCAACAATCAGACCTTATTCTACTGAGACACGAGTTTAAGCTTCAGGAGGCGACGACAGAAAACTAAATTATACAGAAAGTCGAGCTAGCTTTTGATCAAAGTGGTATCCGTGTCTCTATGTATGTGGATTTTATCTATATTTTTAATGCATTATCCTTAATAATTATTTTAGTCCTTTGTGTCATTTTAGTATCTTTAATTATGTGGGATTTTTTTCGTTTCTGTAATGATTTGTGCCTTGTGTAGGTAATTCACTCTACAAATACCGATTGATAGACGGATTGATAATGATTATTTGTGTTAGAAAGACTGTATTTAGATGAACAATGCTAACCTGCTAGCTCAACGAAGCCCAATAGGGAAGTGCTCATGGACGAAATTTTGCTACCAACTCGCTCTGGCTCCTATTGACTCACATGTCAAAGTAAACTCCTCCAGCTCAGTAACGGGCTGTGTAACACTCACAATTTTGGGCTTAAAATCTGTAGTTTAGTGTTATGATATCGTCTTTGTAAATCCAGAGATAAGTCATAAGGCCGTCATTTGCGGGGGGGAAACTCCAGTTTGCCTTTGCGACCGTTAGCTTATGTTCAGCTAGCTTTTGTTCAAATCTGCTTCTTCCATTAAGGCCAACTCCTAACATATATATAAGCAAAAATGTCTTGTCCGTAAAATAGACAAGAAAAAACAACAAAAATACCCTTGGGATGACAAATAAATTGAGACTAAAAAAATACACCCCGGTGCTTTTCCCATTGGCAAATTTGGTTTTAAGACTATCAAAATGTCCTAAATTCGAGATGAAAAACACGATTAAAGTAATATAAAGTTCTATAAGGCGCTATATAGATGTGATGCTAATTTGGCTAAAGTCGCCATAGTGTTAGCATTAATGCGGAACAAGCCCATTTGAACTTAAACTAGCCAGAGCCAATTTCCTTATATGGGCATTTTGTCTGAAGCGTTAATCGGGGTAGACTTGTTGCTAAGACGGTTTCTAGGGCAAGCTGGACTTTCCCCCATGAATGAAGGCATCTGATTGGCCAATCCTGGAATTACAAATACCAAATATAAAACACCAGGATCACGGAGAGCACTAAACCATGGAGTAGCCTATTTTCTTTTCTCATAGTAAAATACGTCCTTTTTTTATGAATGGTTTTGTTGTGTTTTTACATTCATAACCTCTTCGTGGAACCTTCAACTGGTCTTAAAATTGATCCGTAATGTGTGTAGTGAAGTCAAAACATATTTATCACAGCCTGGAGTCCATCTCTTCAGCCACATTTCCAAGATCCTGTTAGTAAGGCGATGCAATTAGAGTTAAATCTACAGAGAAAAATTACTTGGTTTTGGAAATTTGACGTCTGCTGCGAACCCTTTCCAGACCCTCGCAGCAAAGATCAAACCCTGAACAGCCTTTGTATTCACCTTAAAAAAAATCTCTTTCTCAGTTCAACAATTACCCCCAGCCCCGTCCCGGCAGTGTGTGTGTGTGTGGGGTGAGCTTTTTTTTATCGGGGTAGAAACACAAACGAGCGACGATCTCTCTCCCAGATATGAAAAAGAGTGGAGCAGACGTGGCCGATCTAGTTTACGCCAAGAGCTATAATCAGTTTTCGAGACACAACAGTGAGAGGTTTCAAAAGTAGTAATCTGGACCGAGTTTGCAGCGAAGAGACGCGGAGCAACTGTGGTGTAGAAGTCTTTTGTCAATCAGAAAGTGGTTTGAGGGTTTTCTGCTGTGGTGAGGTGTCCTGCCCAAGAGGGAGTTCGCAATGAAGTGCTATGTCCTTTCTGGTCGTTATTAACTCATCAACTGCCATTGACATTATTTGCCTGAGACTGGTGATTTCTGTCAAACTTCCCTCTATTCGGGGATTATAGGACAGCAAAAATAGCTAGAAACAAACTTATTTTTGCTGATGAAAATAGACCTTTCAGAATCTGGTTTCATATTTAACATAGTCATAGCACATAATATTCTGTGGGTCTTGGAAATCAGTGAAACCATCAAAAACGGCTGGCAGTCAATGAGTTAAAGACCTTATGACGGGTTTTTTTTTTTTTAAATTGTGGATATCAAAATTGCATGACAATGTCAATTTGAAAGAGATTCCGGCAAAAAAAATCCTATATTTTATAAAAAGAACGTGTTTTTCATGAATTTAAGTTGTCTATGCTCTAACCTGTGTGTGACGTCACAGCGGGTTACGCCCATGCATTGAAAACCATGGATCTATGCCACAGGACTGCCTTTTCTCTCTTCTCTCCACTGATGCCCAACACAATACTGCCCTCTACAGGTGACAATTGCTCACTACACATAAATTGCTGTTTTGAGAGTGAAAAAGTGTCCGAGGTGGGATTTGAACCCAAGTATCTGGATTGGCAGTCCATCGACACAACCACTGGACTATCTCAGTGACAAAGAAATGTTACATTCTAGTAGTTATCTCACACTCGCTGTACACGGCCTTGTCATCTTGAATATCCGCAAAAAAAGAACGAATACCAAATTGTAAACAACTTACAGCGTTGAAACGTACCCACTCTGACGTCACCAAGGGCTGTGAAGTTTTTTCGTTTCTAAGGGCGTTGCTATGGGGTTATTTCGATTTGGGGGGATCAGACAAAAAAAAAAAACAACTGATTTTGAAACCTTTAGTAGTTCTCTTCTAATATAAAATGGTATTAAAACTGTATTTCTAAATAAATCAAACCCGTCATAAGGTCTTTAACCTGTTTTCTTCCCTTGTTTGGTTATAAAGGCAAGAATGGAGAATTGTGCCAAGTGCTCACATCAATATCCACAAGATAATCAGTGATGATCTGTACAGAGTAGGGATACAGAACCTGAACTGGGGGCAGAGAGATGGGTTTTAGTCGCAATGGACTTACTATGGAATTATATTTAGTAAATTCTTTGATCAGTCAAAACTATTGCACGGTAACACCACTGTACGCTGCAGGACATCTGGAAACTTGGTCCAAAAAACAACTATACTTTGAAGTTTTGAGCGGAGATTTTAGTAGAACTCCCAGAGCCGCCATTTTAACTGTTCCCATTCAAACCAGTGGAGTTATGGAGACATTTCCCCACGATTGTGCATTTTTCCAACAGATGTTTAAAAATATCTAATTTTTAAAGGTGTTCTAAGCTTTATTCACTTTTACTAATTGCTAAAATGGTGACTGTAACTTTAAATACAGCAAAAACTGTTTGTTGAAAAGCTAATGCTAAAGTATGCTAACTGCTTCAAGTAAACATTGAGTTGCTATGGTAACAAGCACTCGCGTTTCGCTGGTGGGAAATCAAGATGACTCAGATCAGAACCAGGACCAAACCAGGACCAGTCCAGGACCATCAGAGTGTAAAAGGGACTTTGACACTAGGACACCCAGGATTCTGAAACTCTAGGACTCCCAGAGCCGTCATTTTGACTGTTCCCAGACAAATCAAATCTGATTATTTTCCACCAGTTTTAATGAACTGGTGATTAAAAATTCAATCAATTTTAATAAACATGAAATAAAGCGACAAAAAAGTGTCTTGCTATGGTAACTAGCATAAACCAGCCCTGGCTTGTCAGTCCAGGACCAGTCCAGACTAGTCAAGGACCAGCACCTTGAGAAAAGTGGCTTTAACTGCAATAAAATACAAAATAATTTCTTTTTTTAGAAAAATTTGAGAAGATTTTACGAAAATAATGGCACATAAATAAACTAAATATAGAACCAGAAAAGGTCATAGAGTTATGAAAATCACTAATGGACACACACTGAGTCAATACATTTCCAGAACTAAAAGCCGTCAATTTGACTGCTGTGGGAGTTCCAGTGTTTAACCAGTCGCCGCTCAGTTCCCCACACACCACCGCAGGCTCCACCTCCACTCAAACCTCCGAAGGCGAGACGGTCCCAGCAGAAAGCATTGGACAAAATCTATAACTGCCATTCATCCAACACCTCCTGCTGTGAGCCTCTCCAGCACCAAATTAACAAAAACCAGTAGCTGTGAGTAGGTTTTATTGTGCATGGAATGTGTTATTGGATATTGTTATCATTGAAAAATCTGAAATGAAAAGTCAAAGAGAAACAATATTGTGTGGAAGGCAATGGGGATGGTGGAACACATTGATTTTTAAGTCAATTAAATATCAGCTTTGAGTCGTCTGCGATCACACAACGGAAATGACAACACCAAAATAACACCGAGTCTGTTGTTTAAAGCTGGGGTACGTAACTTTTGTGTGTCTCTATATGAGTCCATTTCTATAGGTGGAATTTGGTGAAGAAATGCCGTCTTTATCTCATTAGAAAACATGGAGTATTTTGTGTATGTGTAAGAAAGCGCCTTAGGAGTCACTATTTGAGACTTTAGGGCTGAGAGCTGATTGGCCGAGTGAGGGTGGTCCTCTCTTTGTCACAATACTGTCTGAAAAAGTTGATCGAAAGATGTGACAGAGGCTAAAAATGCATGTATTTTTGAAAATTAGAGGAACTGTTCTGGATTGTACTCCATAGTCCCGCTGAAATTTAGGTACCTCAGCTTTAAGTAATTTTTTAAACATAATTTGAGAACATGTGTGTTGTCTTAAGTCATATTCGACAAAAGGATTTATGATTTTTTGTGATTATTTCTCCTACAGGGGATCAATAAAGTATCTATGTGTTTTTCTACTGCGTATTATCATCTGTGTTTGTGAATATAATAAGTCATTTTACATCCTGTGAAACAGATTTAGGAGTCATTTTTTAAGACTTGGTCCAATTAAAGGGAACTAAACCAACAAGTGGATGTGTGGAATGCCCCAAAAGCTAGTATTGTGTGATCTGGAAAGCTGAATATAGACCAGAGAGAGAGAGACCAAAGAGAGACCAGAAAGAGACCAGAGAGAGAGATCAGAGACACAAGAAAGAGAGATCAGAGTAGGGACAGCAAGAGAGACCAGAAAGAGAGATCAGAGAGAGACCAAAGAGTCATGAGAGAGAGAACAGAGAGAGAGAGACCAAAGAGAGACCAGAAAGAGACCAAAGAGTCATGAGAAAGAGACCTGAGAGAGAGACCTGAGAGAGAGACCAGAGAGAGACCAGAGAGAGAGACCAGAGAGAGACCAGAGAGAGAGACCAGAGAGAGACCAGAGAGAGACCAGAGAGAGACCAGAGAGAGACCAGAGAGAGAGACCAGAGAGAGAGACCAGAGAGAGAGACCAGAGAGAGACCAGAGAGAGACCAGAGAGAGACCAGAGAGAGACCAGAGAGAGACCAGAGAGAGGCCAGAGAGAGACCAGAGAGAGACCAGAGAGAGAGACCAGAGAGAGACCAGAGAGAGACCAGAGAGAGACCAGAGAGAGAGACCAGAGAGAGAGACCATACAGAGAGGCCAGAGAGAGAGACCAGAGAGAGAGGCCAGAGAGAGAGAGAGACCAGAGAGAGAGACCAGAGAGAGAGACCAGAGAGAGAGACCAGAGAGAGAGACTAGAGAGAGAGGCCAGAGAGAGAGAGAGACCAGAGAGAGAGACCAGAGAGAGAGACCAGAGAGAGAGACCAGAGAGCTGGTCTTTCTCTCTTTTGACCAGACAGAAAGATCAGAGAGAGACCAAAGAGACAGGCGAAAGAGACCAGAGAGAGATACTAGAGAGAGAGAGGAGAGAGAGAAAGACCAGAGAGAGATCAGAGAGACAGGAGAAAGAGACCAGAGAAAGACGACAGAGACAGACCAAAAAGAGAGCCATGCCAGATCATTTTTTGCCACAAGAGATCCAGACTTTATCCAATAAAAGTGAACCAGATCAACAAGTGTACGTCTGTGTCCAATAAAACCCAAAATCAAATTCCCAACCGCTCATTTTAATGCGATCTGGAAAACTGAATATCGGCTCAGAGTTGTCATTTCCAATTGCAGACTGTGTGGATCTCAAAGCAGCAACAGCGGGAGTTGTGATTGGCGTGATTTGCAGCTACGGGTGAAGAGGCGTGAGGCTCCCATTGGTCTACCGTGACACCGATACCTTGCAGTGGGTGGAGCTTATGGGGATGCCCACATTTGACGCAACAAGCACGGTTAGCGCACTCATTACTTCAATGCAAAATCCGCTGAAAAGACAGAATGTGTGGGGAGAGATGGAGAGGAGAGGTGAGAAGCTGGAACACAACGTCTGGTGCTGGTCTGCGTGGAGAGAATGAGAGTCTGCCACGGCCATGCCACCTAAAGGGCCACACAACATGCCGCAAAAAGGCCGTACGACATGCCGCAACGCTGAGGTTTTGGTGGGAGGAAGGAGCAAGAAAAGGTTATGTTTTCTTGGCGTCTGCTGCGGAACCTGGGAAAAACAGAGAGGGCTCGCACAGTCGCAGCTTCACGCACACTTGTAGGAGGGTTTTCCAGTTTGTCGTCTAAGTATTTTAGTTTCTGGAATCAAAGGTAAATAAAAAAAATAGCCTTGCTTCCTCACTTTAAGAATCGAACTTATGGGGCATATTTTAGAGAGTGTGAATGATGAGATGACTTGATGAATAAACGTGTTTTTTGAATCAAATTGTAATGGGATTGAGCCACTATGGGGAGATCTCAAGTTGGTGGTTCGTGCAAGGCAGTCCAGGAATGTACATAAACTGAGGAGATTTTAGTCGAGAAGAAAGAGATATGAGAGAGCAGAGAGAGAGCAGAGAGAGATCAGATAGAGACCTAAGAGAGACCAAAGAGAGACCAGAGAGAGACCTAAGAGAGACCAAAGAGAGACCAGAGAGAGACCTAAGAGAGACCAAAGAGAGACCAAAGAGAGACCAAAGAGAGACCAAAGAGAGACCAGAGAGAGACCAGAGAGAGACCAAAGAGAGACCAAAGAGAGACCAAAGAGACACCAGAGAGAGACTGAAGAGAGAGATCAGAGAGAGAGTGAAGAGGAACCGAAGATAGAGACCAAAGAGAGAGACCAGAGAACCCGTACCAAAGAGAGACCAGAAAGAGACTAGCGAGACCAGAGAAAGACCAAAGAAAGAGACCAGAGCGAGTCCAGAGAGAGAGACTAGTCGAGTGGAGCCAAATCGGTCTGGGGGAAACAGGGTCTTCGTCTGACCACAATCTATCCCCAAATTTCGACAGTTTTTGTCTCTATCGTCCCCTGCTGGACCCCAGTGTGTGTGGCAGCTGTGCAGTGGGAGCCCCCTCCGTCACAGAGGCGCAGGCAGGACCACCGGCTGGAGCTCAGTCATACCTTGCAGTGCGTGGTACTGACAGGGATTCCGATATTGGAGGCGAACACGACAGTGAGGGCAGAGGCCAGTTCAATAGTGAATCCACTGTGGAGGAGGCGGGGGAGAGCAAAGAGACAGGCTTCATTCAGAGGCTACAGACCATCAGTGCACGGACAGTATTGAGGACAACATTAAGTTAGAACATTTACATTTGATTGTCTGCACACATAGTATATACATCTATGGTTCATTTAAAGCTGGGGTACTCAACTTGTCCCAACAGAAAGAGAGGTTCAGGCTACAACATGCTGTCTTCATTGTATTAGGTCTGGTCTGTATTAGGTCACTCACTCTCTCTGGTCTCCCTCACTCTCTCTGGTCTCCCTCACTCTCTCTGGTCTCCCTCACTCTCTCTGGTCTCCCTCACTCTCTCTGGTCTCCCTCACTCTCTCTGGTCTCCCCCTCACTCTCTCTGGTCTCTCGCTCACACTCTGGTCTCTCTCTCCCCCACACACTCTGGTCTCCCTCACTCTCTCTGGTCTCCCTCACTCTCTCTGGTCTCCCTCACTCTCTCTGGTCTCCCTCACTCTCTCTGGTCTCCCCCTCACTCTCTCTGGTCTCTCGCTCACACTCTGGTCTCTCTCTCCCCCACACACTCTGGTCTCCCCCCACACACTCTGGTCTCCCCCACACACTCTGGTCTCCCCCACACACTCTGGTCTCCCCCACACACTCTGGTCTCCCCCACACACTCTGGTCTCCCCCACACACTCTGGTCTCCCCCACACACTCTGGTCTCCCCCACACACTCTGGTCTCTCCCTCTATCCCACTCTCTCTGGTCCCACTCTCCCTGGTCTCCCACTCTCTCTGGTGTCTCCCACTCTCTCTGGTCTATCCCACTCTCTCTGGTCTATCCCACTCTCTCTGGTCTATCCCACTCTCTCTGGTCTATCCCACTCTCTCTGGTCTATCCCACTCTCTCTGGTCTCCCACTCTCTCTGGTCTACCAAAACGTATGTACATAGTTAACTTTGCAACAATACGTAGGCACCCCTGTCTTACATTTCCCGTAAATAACAAGAAAGTAACAATCATAAATGAATGCATCCTGTCTTTTTCCACATACTGAGTGATCCAAAAACTTTTTATCAACTTTTCCCAGCAATGTTGTCTGTCACCCACAAATATCTCTTATAATTACCTCTTTAAGAATCCCACCTCAACCAAAACTTCCTGCCACGGCGACCCAAACAAGCCTCTTTGTCACTTGGAGAGGACAGGCCTTTAGAATCGTCCGCCAGAGCAAATTTGTCTTGGATCTTAGCAAAGTCTTGGCAATGACCCGGTGATTGAACGTGGGAGATTACGTATAAAACTAAGGCATACAGTGGAGAGGGGGCCAGGGAAGAGAAGGAGAGAATACAAATTAGGACAGAAAGAGAGCGAGAGACGGTGAGAGCAATGGGAAAAGGGAATGATTTAGAGGTGAGCTGCCTTCTTTACAAGAGGAGTTTAGACAATGTTGAGAGATGGAGAAAAGTAGTAATGAAGAAAAAGCTAGCACACAAAGGTTGGAGGGGGGAGAGAAAGGGGAAGTTATAAAGGGGAACAGTCAGTGGTGTCAGTGTGGCGTCCCTCCCCGCGGTTAGAGAGGCCTGAGGTCCAGCTCTGCAATGCGTTTATATAGGAGGAGAGAGAAATGGATACTGAGACAAGAGAGAGGTCTGTATGTATACTGAGACTAGAGAGGTCTGTATGTATACTGAGACTAGAGAGGTCTGTATGTATACTGAGACAAGAGAGGTTTGTATGTATACTGAGACTATAGAGGTCTGTATGTATACTGAGACTATAGAGGTCTGCATGTATACTGAGACCAGCTTGCATCTCTCCTCTCATCTCTTTTTCTCTCAAGAAAATGAAGGAATGAATTAGACGTTGTGCCCTCTCTGCCTCTCAGTGACATAAAGGTGGAATTCCCAGTGCATTAAATCAACAACTATCAGCAAAGTTAATGAGGACGTTCTTCTCGTCGTCTTTCCCGTTTCAAGCCATCTGAAGAAATTGCTCCAACGTTCAGAAAGGAGGAGAGATGGAGGATGCAGAATCACGTCCAAGTCCATATCCACGGCCCATCAGGGTTCCTACAGCTTACCTCAAGTCCTATGACCCATTTCAGCCCACTTATAAATGACCACAGTCTATTTCACAGACAGAATGAAAATGTTGTAATTTCTCATCTGTTGATTTACTTCTCGAACAAGAGATTTTTGGAATGTACTGTGATTAATAATGTGAATTGTGCTATACAGATAAACTTGCCTTGCCTAGCTTGTGGTGACCAGGTTGCGGTGTAATAGTGGGTGTTTAAAATGAAACTTTTGAGGAGAATGCTCAAAATCCAGGTCTTCTTCAGATGTCATTTCCAACTTTTTATATATTTTCAGTCTCTTCACTCAGACTCCATGACTTCAAGGCGGTTTTAAGACCCTGTAGAAACCCTGGCCCCATATAAACGCAGTCAGAGTCTTTGAAAATTGCTGGAAAATGTTTAGTTTTGCTTCCAATCGCACACAGACACCATCTCAAACAGTCCTTGGCGTCATGGTCCCGCCCCGGTCAAAGAGTCCACACACAATCATACACAAAACACATGTTATTTGTCTGCGTTTGACCCAAGGATAGTGTGAAGATGAGGTCATAAACAGAGGAGAAGCTGCAGTCAATGCATTTACACAGATTCCAGGACCAGGATAATTGTGCGTCCAGAGCTGGGCTGGGACAGAAAGATTATAGATAACAAGAGGCGAAACTCTGTTGCAGTTTTGACCACAGCGCTACCTCCATTTTGGACTGAACCAGAGACGGTTACCATAGCTACATACTATACTATACAACTATGAAGCAATAACAGCATTTCATAGATTCCTCATGAGATCCAGAGAGGTATGTGTCATAGCAGTAGCTTTGTATTCGTCGTTGAAGGGAACTAGCTAACGTTAATGGATACAAGTGCGCCATGAAGCATATAGGGCTCATCCCAATTTTAGTTTGCTGATGCTATAAGCTTAAACAGATAATATTTGGACTTTAAAGCCATGGGTTGTAGAAAAACTGTGCTGTGGCTCCTTTAAGATACATCCAGCAGTCTCTATTTCAGGGTTCTCCAAACTTTTTCATTCAGAGAGCTACTTTTATACAACAGAAGGGGCAGAGAGCTACTCCTTTTTGCGGTCATAATAAAAACCTATGTAAGAATGATGACAAAACATGGAAAACAGGATACTGTATAACCCTATATTTATATTTATAATACATTTGTAATGACCCCAAAAGTGAATCATTCAAGATTGTGCGTTAAATTCTAAATCCTTTGGGGAGCTACCTGAAAGGAGTTGATTGAAGCCGAGTCGCATTTATTCATGACTAGACAAAAGTTTAGGCTGATTTTGTTGTGCGTTATTCAACCTGTTTTAGTTAAGGTTCAAGAAATAATAAACAAACTAGTAAACTATTCAGCAGTTTCCTTAAAGGTCCTCTGTGCAATTTTTACAGTTGCTCCAAATGAAAAAACATATTAACCAATAACAAATGTGACCTTTTTAAGACTTTTTACCTCCACCATGTTTTTGAATTGTTGTCATAGGCTTAGAAATGGACTTATAAATGTCCATGAGGTGGAGGACTGTGTCAATGCGCCATTTTGAAATATAGTGGTTGATAAGGGACAAAAAGGGACCATTGTTAAAGACCACATATTGTCCTTCAAAGCTACCGTAGTATACCGTAAATTACAATATATAATCTCAAGGCTAGATGGGAGTAAAAACAACACAGAGTACCTTTAAACCTGTAGCCCCTCTATATATTCAACAGAGAATGTCTTGGGTTCAGTCCAAGATGGCGGCGCTGTGCCTTGGTTACGGGTGCGTGAGTTTCACCTCTTGGTTCTTCTAGACTCTTTGATGGAGTCGGTCTCACCTGGAGGGGGTGATGGGGGTCAGGTCTTTGCCCATGGTCTGGATCACGCGTCTGCCCCACACCCACAGACCGGCGCAGATGCCAATACCACCGTAAAGCAACAGCCAGATGGGAGTGGCGGCGTCCTGCATCACGCCACCCTGGTCATAGATCATCCACAGCGCCACCAGGGGGCCGATGGCATTACTGCAAAGAGAGGGTTAGGAGATGAAGGAGAGGCTGAAGGACTGGTGGCTGTTGTGTGACTGGTTTGTCTGTCATTGTGAGAACTTCAATAACTCAATTCAGTTCAATTCTATTTTTGTGTTGCCCTAAATCAGTGGTTATTTCAGTCACAGTCACACAGATATCAGAACCAGGGACGTGCAGTCAGGGGAGGCAGGGGAGGCAGAGCCTCACCTGCCATTATTGGAAACTAATAATTATTTTAGTTTAAATATATAATTTATATCCACTGTCCTATGCTTTTAATGTATATTCGGCACGGTTCCCATCAGTTTTGATCATTTCTGAAGTCAAAATCGCCGAAATCCCGTTATTCCTATTCAAAGAGACGAGGTGAGGCAGCGCTCCTGCGTGCCTCACCCCAGACCGCTCCCTCACAGTGTGTGTGTGTGTGTCTGAGTGCACTCAGCTCGTGCAGTTGATATATCACCGTTTGTTTCAAATATCCTGCTTTAAAAACATTTTTTAAACTCCTCTTAGTGTTTAGTAGTGTATTGCACGTATGTGTGTACAATTTATATTTAGTTTAAGTCTTTTGATCGTAGATGAACACACAAGGAAAAAGCTTGGCGTGAGGCAGGCGGTATCTGTGCCTCACCGCTAGGGGTGATAGTGAGCATAAAGTTCATACCAGAGTTGCTAACAAACAATCAGCCCAAAATGCTATTTCTTTTGCTGGAAAATGGATGATTTGAATGAAGATTTTTTTTCTCAATTGGACTTTCAAACAAAGAAAGAATTAATATAGACTGGGAGACCACCACTGGACTTACGAGGTTAGTCCGGCTGCGGGGGAGGAGTTTGTTAATCTGTGTTTTATGTTGAACATTGACAGATACCGGCAAAGTAGTGCTTTTCCGAAAAACACTGATTCAAACACTGCTCAAGAGTTCTGCAACTTGTTTAAATTATTGTTTATGTTCCTCGCGTCTCTCTCTCCTCGCGTCTCTCTCTCCTCGCGTCTCCGTCTCTCTCTGCTCCTCGCGTCTCCGTCTCTCTGCTTCTCTCTGTCTCTCTCTGCTCCTCTCTCCTCGCGTCTCTCTCTCCTCGCGTCTCTCTCTCCTCGCGTCTCCGTCTCTCTCTGCTCCTCGCGTCTCCGTCTCTCTGCTCCTCTCTGTCTCTCTCTGCTCCTCTCTCCTCGCGTCTCTCTCTCCTCGCGTCTCCGTCTCTCTCTGCTCCTCGCGTCTCTGTCTCTCTGCTCCTCTCTGTCTCTCTCTGCTCCTCGCGTCTCCGTCTCTCTGCTCCTCTCTGTCTCTCTCTGCTCCTCTCTCCTCGCGTCTCTCTCTCCTCGCGTCTCTCGCACCTGCGCTTCTTAAAGATGTTGTTTGATGCGGAGCAGAGTCAGCAGCTAGATTTGTTGTGAGATTATTAAAAGAAGCTGGTTCTCTTATCTTTACAGTATATAAAGTTTGTGGATGTCATTGCATTGGTGATTAAATGCTATTTTATTTGAATAATGATTGTAAATCTGACTTTTAAAGTCAGTGCCTCCCCAATCACAAACCTCACCGCACGTCCCTGATCAGAACATACACACACGTACACACATACTGTATATACAGTATATACACACACACACACGAATATAAAGTCATACACACACACAAATATCAAAATATACACACATACTATATACACATTCACACACAGTCACTCACAAATATCAAAACACACACACATAAGTATCAAAACACACTGTCACACAAATATCAACACACAAACATAAATATCAAGATACATACACACAGTCACACTCACAGTCTCTCACACACACACACACACACAAAGTCACACTCACACACATACAAACAGTCTCACACACACGCGCACACACACACAAAAGTCACACTCACACACATACACACACACTCTCTCTCCTCACCTGACGTCGTTGCCTCCGTGGGCGAACGACCCGAAACACGCAGTGAGAATCTGCAGGAAGTGGAAGAGCTGGAAGACCTCAGACTTGTCCTTCTCCTCGTGGTCCTCGTCCGCCATGTCGTCCGGCGCCCCCTCTGGCCCCGCCCCCTCCTCCGGCAGCCCCTCCAGCTCCGTGGCCAGCTTCATCTCCACCCCGCCCTCGTCCGCCTCGATCTCCGCCTCGGCCACGGCGTTGCAGTACGACGAGTAGCTGTCGTAGCGGATCCTCTTCTTGGAGTAGGACACGCTGTTGCTCCTCCCCCCTCCTCCCCCGCCGCCTCCCCCCTCTCCCCCCACCAGCTTCTCACCGTCGTCCCTGGACTCGGTTCTCTTCAGCGGCTGCACGGGCATGCCGCAGATGGCCGCCGTGTAGCAGGTGTAGCTGTTGTTGCGGCGCAGGGTGCGGTAGTTGTTGTCCGCGGGGCCGGCGTTGGCACGGTCCCCGTCGTCCATGCGCCCGAGGTGGATCTTGTGCAGCAGGTCCTTGTAGAGACCCGAGTCCTTGTGGACCGTGTGGTAGACCTGGCCGTCGCTGCGCATGTGGCCGTCGAAGCTGAAGCTACCGTTGGAGACCGGGGACTTCAGGCAGCCGTTGGTCATGGAGTGAGTCCGACCTGCATCACAGAAAGAAAGTAAGTGACTGTGTGTTTGTGTGAGAGAATGTGTATGTGTGTGTGTGTGTGTGTGCTTGTGAGAGAATGTGTATGTGTGTGTGTGTGTTTGTGTGAGAGAATGTGTATGTGTGTGTGTGCGAGAGAGAGAGAGAGAGCGAGAGAGAGAGAGAGAGAGAATGTGTGTGTGCGAGAGAGAGAGAATGTGTGTGTGCGAGAGAGAATGTGCGGGTGAGAGAAAGAGAATGTGTGTGCAAGAGAGAGAGAGAGAATGTGTGTGTGCGAGAGAGAATGTGCGGGTGCGAGAGAGAGAGAATGTGTGTGTGCGAGAGAGAGAAAATGTGTGTGTGCGAGAGAGAGTATGTGTGTGTGCGAGAGAGAATGTGTGTGTGCGAGAGAGAGAGAATGTGTGTGTGCGAGAGAGAGAATGTGTGCGAGAGAGAGAATGTGTGTGTGGCAAGAGAGAGAGTATGTGTGTGTGCGAGAGAGAATGTGTGTGTGCGAGAGAGAGAGAATGTGTGTGTGCGAGAGAGAGAGAATGTGTGTGTGCGAGAGAGAGAATGTGTGCGAGAGAGAGAATGTGTGTGTGCGAGAGAGAGAATGTGTGAGTGTGAGAGAGAGTATGTGTGAGTGCGAGAGAGAGTGTGTGAGTGCGAGAGAGAGAATGTGTGTGTGCGAGAGAGAGAATGTGTGTGTGCGAGAGAGAGAATGTGTGTGTGCGAGAGAGAATGTGTGTGTGCGAGAGAGAGAGAATGTGTGTGTGCGAGAGAGAGAGAATGTGTGCGAGAGAGAGAATGTGTGCGAGAGAGAGAATGTGTGCGAGAGAGAGAATGTGTGCGAGAGAGAGAATGTGTGTGTGCGAGAGAGAGAATGTGTGAGTGTGAGAGAGAGTGTGTGAGTGCGAGAGAGAGTGTGTGAGTGCGAGAGAGAGAATGTGTGTGTGCGAGAGAGAGAATGTGTGTGTGCGAGAGAGAGTATGTGTGTGTGCGAGAGAGAGTATGTGTGTGTGCGAGAGAGAATGTGTGTGTGCGAGAGAGAGAGAATGTGTGTGTGCGAGAGAGAGAATGTGTGCGAGAGAGAGAATGTGTGTGTGCAAGAGAGAGAGTATGTGTGTGTGCGAGAGAGAATGTGTGTGTGCGAGAGAGAGAGTATGTGTGTGTGCGAGAGAGAAATGTGTGTGTGCGAGAGAGAGATGTGTGTGTGCGAGAGAGAGAGAATGTGTGCGAAAGAGAGAATGTGTGTGTGCGAGAGAGAGAATGTGTGAGTGCGAGAGAGAGAGAATGTGTGTGTGCGAGAGAGAGAATGTGTGTGTGCGAGAGAGAGAATGTGTGTGTGTGCGAGAGAGAGAGAATGTGTGTGTGCGAGAGAGAGAATGTGTGTGTGCGAGAGAGAATGTGTGTGAGAGAGAGAGAATGTGTGTGAGAGAGAGAGAATGTGTGTGTGCGAGAGAGAGAATGTGTGTGTGCGAGAGAGAGAATGTGTGTGTGTGCGAGAGAGAGAATGTGTGTGTGTGCGAGAGAGAGAATGTGTGCGAGAGAGAGAATGTGTGTGTGCAAGAGAGAGAATGTGTGCGAGAAAGAGAGAATGTGTGCGAGAGAGAGAATATGTGTGTGCGAGAGAGAGAGAGAGAATGTGTGTGTGCGAGAGAGAGAATGTGTGTGTGCGAGAGAGAGAATGTGTGTGTGCGAGAGAGAGTATGTGTGTGTGCGAGAGAGAGAATGTGTGAGTGTGAGAGAGAGTGTGTGAGTGCGAGAGAGAGTGTGTGAGTGCGAGAGAGAGAGAATGTGTGTGTGCGAGAGAGAGAATGTGTGTGTGCGAGAGAGAGTATGTGTGTGTGCGAGAGAGAGTATGTGTGTGTGCGAGAGAGAATGTGTGTGTGCGAGAGAGAGAGAGAGAATGTGTGTGTGCGAGAGAGAGAATGTGTGCGAGAGAGAGAATGTGTGTGTGCAAGAGAGAGAGTATGTGTGTGTGCGAGAGAGAATGTGTGTGTGCGAGAGAGAGAGTATGTGTGTGTGCGAGAGAGAATGTGTGTGTGCGAGAGAGAATGTGTGTGTGCGAGAGAGAGAGAATGTGTGCGAAAGAGAGAATGTGTGTGTGCGAGAGAGAGAATGTGTGAGTGCGAGAGAGAGAGAATGTGTGTGTGCGAGAGAGAGAATGTGTGTGTGCGAGAGAGAGAATGTGTGTGTGTGCGAGAGAGAGAGAATGTGTGTGTGCGAGAGAGAGAATGTGTGTGTGTGCGAGAGAGAATGTGTGTGAGAGAGAGAGAATGTGTGTGAGAGAGAGAGAATGTGTGTGTGCGAGAGAGAGAATGTGTGTGTGCGAGAGAGAGAATGTGTGTGTGTGCGAGAGAGAGAATGTGTGTGTGTGCGAGAGAGAGAGATGTGTGCGAGAGAGAGAATGTGTGTGTGCAAGAGAGAGAATGTGTGCGAGAAAGAGAGAATGTGTGCGAGAGAGAGAATATGTGTGTGCGAGAGAGAGAGAGAGAATGTGTGTGTGCGAGAGAGAGAATGTGTGTGTGTGCGAGAGAGAGAAATGTGTGTGTGCGAGAGAGAGTATGTGTGTGTGCGAGAGAGAGAATGTGTGAGTGTGAGAGAGAGTGTGTGAGTGCGAGAGAGAGTGTGTGAGTGCGAGAGAGAGAATGTGTGTGTGCGAGAGAGAGAATGTGTGTGTGCGAGAGAGAGTATGTGTGTGTGCGAGAGAGAGTATGTGTGTGTGCGAGAGAGAATGTGTGTGTGCGAGAGAGAGAGAATGTGTGTGTGCGAGAGAGAGAATGTGTGCGAGAGAGAGAATGTGTGTGTGCAAGAGAGAGAGTATGTGTGTGTGCGAGAGAGAATGTGTGTGTGCGAGAGAGAGAGTATGTGTGTGTGCGAGAGAGAATGTGTGTGTGCGAGAGAGAATGTGTGTGTGCGAGAGAGAGAGAATGTGTGCGAAAGAGAGAATGTGTGTGTGCGAGAGAGAGAATGTGTGAGTGCGAGAGAGAGAGAATGTGTGTGTGCGAGAGAGAGAATGTGTGTGTGTGCGAGAGAGAGAATGTGTGTGTGTGCGAGAGAGAGAGAATGTGTGTGTGCGAGAGAGAGAGAATGTGTGTGTGCGAGAGAGAATGTGTGTGAGAGAGAGAGAATGTGTGTGAGAGAGAGAGAATGTGTGTGTGCGAGAGAGAGAATGTGTGTGTGTGCGAGAGAGAGAATGTGTGTGTGTGCGAGAGAGAGAATGTGTGTGTGTGCGAGAGAGAGAATGTGTGCGAGAGAGAGAATGTGTGTGTGTGCAAGAGAGAGAATGTGTGCGAGAGAGAGAGAATGTGTGCGAGAGAGAGAATATGTGTGTGCGAGAGAGAGAGAGAGAATGTGTGTGTGCGAGAGAGAGACTGTGGGTGTGCGAGAGAGAGAATGTGTGTGTGCGAGAGAGAGTATGTGTGTGTGCGAGAGAGAGAATGTGTGTGTGTGAGAGAGAATGTGTGAGTGCGAGAGAGAGAATGTGTGTGTGCGAGAGAGAGAATGTGTGTGTGCGAGAGAGAGTATGTGTGTGGGCGAGAGAGAGTATGTGTGTGTGCGAGAGAGAGAGAATGTGTGTGTGCGAGAGAGAGAATGTGTGTGTGCGAGAGAGAATGTGTGAGTGCGAGAGAGAGAGTGTGTGTGTGCGAGAGAGAGAATGTGTGCGTGAGAGCGAGAATGTGTGTGTGTGCGAGAGAGAGAGAATGTGTGGGTGCGAGAGAGAATGTGTGTGTGCGTGAGAGAGAGAGAATGTGTGCGAGAGAGAGAGAATGTGTGCGAGAGAGAGAATGTGTGTGTGCGAGAGAGAGTATGTGTAAGTGCGAGAGAGAGAATGTGTGTGTGCGAGAGAGAGAATGTGTGTGTGCGAGAGAGAGAGAATATGTGTGTGCGAGAGAGAGAATGTGTGTGTGCGAGAGAGAGTATGTGTGTGTGCGAGAGAGAGAATGTGTGTGTGCGAGAGAGAGAATGTGTGTGTGCGAGAGAGAGTATGTGTGTGTGCGAGAGAGAATGTGTGTGTGCGAGAGAGAGAGAATGTGTGTGTGCGAGAGAGAGAATGTGTGAGTGCGAGAGAGAATGTGTGTGTGCGAGAGAGAGTATGTGTGTGTGCAAGAGAGAGAGAATGTGTGTGTGCGAGAGAGAGAATGTGTGTGTGTGAGGGAGAGAGAATGTGTGTGTGCGAGAGAGAGTATGTGTGAGTGCGAGAGAGAGAATGTGTGTGTGCGAGAGTGAGTATGTGTGTGTGCGAGAGAGAGAGTATGTGTGAGTGCGAGAGAGAGAATGTGTGTGTGCGAGAGAGAGTATGTGTGAGTGCGAGAGAGAGAATGTGTGTGTGCGAGAGAGAGTATGTGTGTGTGCGAGAGAGAGAGAATGTGTGTGTGCGAGAGAGAGAGAATGTGTGTGTGCGAGAGAGAGAGTATGTGTGTGTGCGAGAGAGAGAGAATGTGTGTGTGCGAGAGAGAGTATGTGTGTGTGCGAGAGAGAGAGAATGTGTGTGTGCGAGAGAGAGAGAATGTGTGTGTGCGAGAGAGAGAGAAATGTGTGTGTGCGAGAGAGAGAATGTGTGCGAGCGAGAGAATGTGTGTGTGCGAGAGAGAGAGAATGTGTGTGTGCGAGAGAGAGAGAATGTGTGTGTGCGAGAGAGAGAGAATGTGTGTGTGCGAGAGAGAGAGAATGTGTGTGTGTGCGAGAGAGAGAGTATGTGTGTGTGCGAGAGAGAGAGAATGTGTGCGAGAGAGAGAATGTGTGTGTGCGAGAGAGAGAGAATGTGTGTGTGCGAAAGAGAGAATGTGTGAGTGCGAGAGAGAGAGAATGTGTGAGTGCGAGAGAGAGAATGTGTGTGTGCGAGAGAGAGAATGTGTGTGTGCGAGGGAGAGAGAATGTGTGTGTGCGAGGGAGAGAGAATGTGTGTGTGCGAGAGAGAGAGTATGTGTGAGTGCGAGAGAGAGAATGTGTGTGTGCGAGAGAGAGTATGTGTGAGTGCGAGAGAGAGAATGTGTGTGTGCGAGAGAGAGTATGTGTGTGTGCGAGAGAGAGTATGTGTGTGTGCGAGAGAGAGAGAATGTGTGAGTGCGAGAGAGAGAATGTGTGTGTGCGAGAGAGAGTATGTGTGTGTGCGAGAGAGAGAGAGAATGTGTGTGTGCGAGAGAGAGAGAATGTGGGTGTGCGAGAGAGAATGTGTGTGTGCGAGAGAATGTGTGTGTGTGCGAGAGAGAGAGAATGTGTGTGTGCGAGAGAGAATGTGTGTGCGAGAGAGAGAGAATGTGTATGTGCGAGAGAGAGAGAGAATGTGTGTGTGCGAGAGAGAGTATGTGTGTGTGCGAGAGAGAGAGAATGTGTGTGTGCGAGAGAGAGAATGTGTGCGTGAGAGCGAGAATGTGTGTGTGTGCGAGAGAGAGAGAATGTGTGTGTGCGAGAGAGAGAATGTGTGTGTGCGAGAGAGAGAATGTGTGTGTGCGAGAGAGAGAATGTGTGTGTGCGAGAGAGAGAATGTGTGTGTGCGAGAGAGAGAGAATGTGTGTGTGTGCGAGAGAGAGAATGTGTGTGTGCGAGAGAAAGAATGTGTGTGTGCGAGAGAGAGAGAATGTGTGCGAGAGAGAGAATGTGTGTGTGCGAGAGATAGAGAATGTGTGTGTGCGAGAGAGAGAATGTGTGTGTGCGAGAGAGAGAGAATGTGTGTGTGCGAGAGAGAGAGAATGTGTGTGTGCGAGAGAGAGAGAATGTGTGTGTGCGAGAGAGAGAGAATGTGTGTGTGCGAGAGAGAGTATGTGTGTGTGCGAGAGAGAGAGAATGTGTGTGTGTGAGAGAGAGAGAATGTGTGTGTGCGAGAGAGAGAGAATGTGTGTGTGCGAGAGAGAGTATGTGTGTGTGCGAGAGAGAGAGAATGTGTGTGTGTGAGAGAGAATGTGTGCGAGAGAGAGAGAATGTGTGTGTGTGTGAGAGAGAATGTGTACTGTATGTGAGAGAGAGAGAATGTGTGTGTGCGAGAGAGAGAGAATGTGTGAGTGCGAGAGAGAATGTGTGTGTGCGAGGGAGAGAGAATGTGTGAGTGCGAGAGAGAGAGAATGTGTGTGTGCGAGAGAGAGAGAATGTGTGTGTGCGAGAGAGAGAATATGTGAGTGCGAGAGAGAGAATGTGTGTGTGCGAGAGAGAGAGAATGTGTGTGTGCGAGATGTACCTACGCAGACACGGGGAGAACATGAAAACTCCACTCAGAAAGGCCCTTACCATAGACCCTGCCGTTGGGCAAGACATTGTTCCCGTTGGCCTGGGTGGTCAGGTCGCCGGTGGACTCCCTTGTGGTGCGGTCAGAGCCGGTCAGGGGCAGCACGGCCTCGTCGCTGCCTTTGGGCCCCGGCAGCTCTTTGAACACCGGGCTTTCCTCCTCCTCCTCCGGGATCTTGTCCAGACTCTCAGAGGAAATCCTGGACAGAGCCTGTTCTTTCTTTAAACGACCTAAAAGAGCAAACGAGAAAGACCAAAGTGAGTTACGCACCGCTGACCACTCTGAGGTGAAAAGATGCAGAGATCAATGTGGAAACGCAGGCGTGCCAAACTCAGGCCCGGGGGGTCAAATCCGGCCCACGAGATCATTATTAGTGCCCTCCCCACAAAAATGATTTATTATTATTATTATTATTACAGAACAGTGTATGTAGGTCAGCTTAAGGATAATATTGAAAATGTTAATGTGGTGTAGAAAGGCCCAAACAGGGACTGGAGTTCAACCTTACCCTCCATAAACAATAACAAACTCTTATTTATTATTATTATTTATTATTATCAGTTACACGCTTGTTTTGTTCTATGTTGACTTGCAATGTCCCTTTAAAATAAAATAATACCAGTTCATTCCATTTTCTTCTGCTTCATCCCTGGCCGGGTCGCAAGTTTTTTTTATTTTTTTTTTATGAATAAATAAAAACAAATAACTTGTAGCGATGATGGAAATAGGCTACAATGGCATACTCCATTATACTCCATTAAAAGTTAAGTTCGGACAATAATTTATTTTGTGCATTTAACCATCAGTCTTCCAATACATCTCATTCTTGATATTTAGCCCAGTTGTGGTTGAATCCAAAAATAATAGAAAATAATATACAAACTCATGTCAATTACAGTTAAATTGGCAAAAAAATAAATAAATAAATAAATAAAAACAATCTGTTATTCTTCTGGCTCCACACCCGCTCCTGTGTTTTTATATTTCGACCCCCGACCAAAATGAGTTGTCCACCTCTGTATTAATAGCCCTAAATCACAACAGCGGTTTTCTCTGAGGACTTCACAAAAATGTCGATTCACCCGCCGCAGATCAGAGAATCAAACACAGGTAATGCAATGGAAAATAAAACACATAAAGCCTGTGGTCCATAAGGGGCAGAAGCAAGTGTAAAATCTCTAGCTTTAGTCAAATAGAAAAGCAAGTTTAAAAGTATAAAATCTCTAACTTAACTCTAATATTACTTCAAAAACCAAAACACAGAAACTTACTTGCTATTTTCTTTCTCATCCAGGGACAGACGATGAACCAGACCACCGCCGCGCAGACTAGCGAACCGGCTAACGTGATAAGGAATATGGCCCAAACCGGGAGACTTTCTAATCCGAGCACTGAGAGCAGCAAACAGAAGGATTATGTTAGAGCCGTCTTCTGAAATGACATGTTTAAACTAAAGTTAAACATGTTAGAGCTTACGCGGGGCTCCGGTGTAGAGGATGGAGAAGGTGTTGATGCCGATGGTGGTGGCATAGAACACGGGGAGAGCGCGAAGGCCGTTGGGAGTTGGATCGTCCTGTGAAATAAATAAAATAAATAAAAACAGATAAGATAAGAGATCATTTAATTGTCCCGCGGCGGGGAAATGTCAATGTTGCAGCGCACATACAGGACAGTAGTGAGAGCGATATAAGTAGCTGCTATGTTTTTTTTAGCTAGCTGTAAACGTGCGGCTCGTTTCCCTTACTTTGAACGCTGCGGTTTATGCTAATTAATTCAACTTTTTATTTATTCATTCAAGTAACAGTCCATCAACAGAATTCATGAGTAGTTCACGGAGGTTAATTAAATTGTCCACAAACATGATTAAATGTGATACTGTGTTTTGTCTGACGAACCACTTTTGACCCTAGCCTGGCCTTTATCCATCCGTACACTCCGCTCAATCCTCATTTCACTGCATGTAACGTCTGGGTCTGGTCCCTGTGTTTGCGATCGGTTACAATCATGGACGTCGGAACTATTTTCTGAGAGGGGGGGCGGGTTTTTGTTGGGAGAGTCGAGGGAGAGACTCATACTTGGATTACACTGGATAATAACATACCATCTTAATTGTTAAGAAAAACAAAATAAACAATATATATCAAGCAAGTCACTTATCAAACTGAACTTTTTTTTTTTCAATACGCATTCATGCGTCAGTCTCTCCGGTGGCTTCATTGTGTTGTGTAGCCCAGTGACGTGCGGTCAGATGAGGCAGGCAAGGCCCTCACCTAAGATCATAGAAAGAAAAGTAATAAAATGGATACAATAATGTTTGGTCACTTTATCAAGTGATTTGTGCTGTGCCTTATTTCATTTATTTATACCTTGAAATCGCAGATTTGACAGAGCGGTGCTGTGAGGCGAGCCTCTCTTGGGAGACGTAAAAAGCAACAGTTCACAGGGAGAGTCCTGTGAGGTGCTATCAAACTGTTTTCCCTGTTTATCACAGTTTAAAAAGTTCAAAAATATTTAATTTACAATCAACATGTTTACATTTAAGAGGATGGCTCATAAATTGTGTTTTTGAAGCAAATATGGGTCTTAATCGCGCTCAACCACAGCTTGTAAGTGAGGAAAGCCTCAAGGGGGCGCTTGTGAGCCCAAACTTTGGCTGCATCCAATTCCATCAGAAAGCTCCTTTCTTGTTCTTCTTCTGCTAAGGGCAACTACAGGTTTGGCTAACATACCTATAATACATTTTAAGATAATTTAAAATGCACTTAGAGTAATGTTTTGCTTCCAATGATGATATGAATCATAAGAAAAGGAGGTGAAGGGTAAGGTTGAATTTAGAAATTGGATTTACCCGGGAGTCGGCTGCAGCAAAACTCGGAGTTTACGGAGGAGACACCCGTTTTTTTTACTTTTTAAAACTCATTGAACTTATTTCCAAATGGAGGATTACATGTCTGTGCTCAAACTATTATCTGGACTTAAACATGAAACTGGTCCTAACTGAAGTGGTCTGTGCTGTTCATTAATACCTAAGGTAAGGCCCATAACACACTTTGTACTATTTACAAACGTTTGCGTTTTGTATGAGAAAACAATGCAGACATTAAATCATATTCTGCTGTAGCCAAACAAATTGTGTATAAGCCGCTCCTGTTCCTGTAGGTCCTGTTGGTTTATATGATGTATAATATGAACACATGATTGATCCCCCACCGCACGTCACTGGTGTAGCCAGGTCTCTAATCTGCGCAAGGCTGAGAAAGAGCGCTCAGAGGCTGCGACAGATATTAGCCAGACAGAGCTTCATAAGCTTCTCCGACAGCATGGAGCGGGTTTTGGGCTGCAAGGAACGCAGGATAGTGATAACTTCTCGTTCCCGGCACACGCGGAGGGGGTGCGGCCCCTAGTTCCGACGTCTATGGTTACAATCGGTTGAATTTCGACCGACCAACCAGCGAGCGCGGAGGGAGAGTGTTGTATTTAGTTGTGGGTGACGTCAAGAGTTTGGCAATGACGAAAAATGCGATAGTAAAGTAATCCGGTCTTGTTCTATCAAGAAATTGAAGCCGGAGCGATTGTTAAGCAAATGTTATCGCTAGAAAAAAATTGTGGCGCTACTCCCCAAGGGCTCTGTTAGCAGCTAAGGAGAATGGCTAGGCTAAATGCTAAATGCTAACGACAGATTTGGGCGCACTACATACGTCACAGTTAGAGCTGCAACTAACGATTATTTTGTAATCGATTAATCTATCGATTATTTTTCCGATGAATCGAGTAATCGCTTGGCTGTGAATTGTGTAGAAAAAAATTATTTTTTCATCACAAAAAGCTAAAGTGGCAACACTCGAGGACGTATTGATGGCGTAAACTTAAAGTAAATGTTTGTAAAAGGCTCTTTGTGCTAATTCTGCTCTGATTGGATGAGACGGACAGATATTCATGAAATTCGGTTTTAATCAAAAATACTACATTTTCATGTCATTTTTGCTCTGTTTGAGTCCGTGTGAACCAGAAAACGATTAATCGATTACTAAAATAGTTGTCGACTATTTCAATAATCGATTAGTCGTCGATTAATCGATTAGTTGTTTCAGCCCTAGTCACAGTAAACTCAGATCCAATCGTTTCAATCTGCAAAAGGAGTTAGCCCCTCCCACCTGTTAACGGAGCTCAATGGAGCACCTCCAGACCTTAGTACGAAATGTAATTTGTACTAAGGTGTGGTACGACCAGGCTACTTTTGACCTAGCTTGCTAAAGATATTAGCGGTTCCTGGCTGTTCACATGAAGCCAAACCGCCCTAGAAAACCCCTGTACACTTTGAGCTACTTCTTTCCAGATATAGCTTCATTATTTACTACTATTCCATAAAAAATAAACACAGAGGGAGAGAAGGGGGACGCAGCGTGAGCAGAGTCGGCAGCGAGAGATGAATACATGTAATCTCTGAGTCAGATTCCTGCAGTCGTGACCTCACAGTGACCTCACAGTGACCTCACAGTGACCTCACAGTGATCTACAGCCTCAGCTCCAGACAGTGCATTACATAAGATACAGATATGAACGTGTTGCCAAATCAAACTGTGTCTATCTGAGACATGCTCTGCTCACAGCTGTGCAACCCCCACCAACGTGCATCTACCCTGTGTGTTTTATGTAACGATGAAGATGACGAGATCCTTTATGTTGTCCCACAGAACAGTAGGAACACATATCTCTGGCTTTAGCATAGTAAAGAAGCTAGTTTAAAATCACTAGCTTTAGCATAACAAAGAAGCTAGTTTAAAATCCAAAATACTGTATAGTAAAGAGCAAGAAATGTATAGTTGTTTTACACCTGCAGCACGAGGGGTACACAGTGACATGTGGTTCTGTGTCGCACGTTCTGACATGAATCATGTTAAAAACTGTCTCTCACCCTCTCTCTCTCCTTCTCTCCTTCTCTCTCACCCTCTCTCTCTCTCCTTCTCTCTCTTTCACCTTCTCTTACCCTCTCTCACCTTCTCTCTCTCTCACCTTCTCTCTCTCTCTCTCTCTCTCTCACACCTTCTCTCTCTCTCTCTCTCTCACCTTCTCTCTCTCTCTCTCTCACCTTCTCTCTCTCTCACCTTCTCTCTCTCTCTCTCTCACCCTCTCTCTCTCACCTTCTCTCTCTCTCTCACCTCTCTCTCTCACTCTCTCTCATCCTCTCTCACCTTCTCACCCTCCTCTCTCTCACTCTCTCGCCAACTCTTTCTCTCTCTCTCTCAACTCTCTCCCCCTCTCTCTCTTACCTTCGCTCACTCCCTCTCACTTTCTCTCACCCTCGCTCTCACCCTCTCTCTCACCCTCTCTCTCGCACCTTCTCTTTC